CCTCCAAATCCCGGGAATCCCCTCAGCCCCAAACCCCACCGGATCACTTTTAACCCCTTGTCTCCCGTGTCCCAGCCTCAGGCCGTGACCAGACCCCCACCAGATCACTTTTAACCCCTTCTGTCCCGTGTCCCAGCCTCGGGCTCGGAGCCGTGCCCCCAAACCCCCACCGGATCACTTTTAACCCCTTGTCTCCCGTGTCCCAGCCTCGGGCTCGGAGCCGTGTCCCCCAAACCCACTGGATCACTTTTTAACCCCTTGTCTCCCGTGTCCCAGCCTCAGGCTCGGAGACGTGCCCCCCAAATCCCACCGGATCACTTTTAACCCCTTCTCTCCCGTGTCCCAGCCTCAGGCCGTGACCAGACCCCCACCAGATCACTTTTAACCCCTTCTCTCCCGTGTCCCCACTGTCCCAGCCTCGGGCTCGGAGCCGTGCCCCCCAAACCCCCATTGGATCAGTTTTTAACCCCTTTTCTCCCATTTTCCCTCTTAAACCCCCACCGGATCACTTTTAACCCCTTCTCTCCCGTGTCCCAGCCTCAGGCTCGGAGCTGTGCCCCCCAAACCCCACCAGATCACTTTTAACCCCTTCTCTCCCGTGTCCCAGCCTCGGGCTCGGAGCCGTGTCCCCCAAACCCCACCGGATCACTTTTTAACCCCTTGTCTCCCGTGTCCCAGCCTCAGGCCGTGACCAGACCCCCACCAGATCACTTTTTAACCCCTTCTCTCCCGTGTCCCAGCCTCGGGCTCGGAGCCGTGCCCCCAAACCTCCATTGGATCACTTTTTAACCCCTTCTCTCCCATATCCCAGCCTCGGGCTCAGAGCCGTGCCCCCCAAACCCCACCAGATCACTTTTAACCCCTTGTCTCCCGTGTCCCAGCCTCAGGCCGTGACCAGACCCCCACCGGATCACTTTTTAACCCCTTGTCTCCCGTGTCCCAGCCTCGGGCTCGAAGCCGTGTCCCCCAAACCCCCATTGGATCAGTTTTTAACCCCTTTTCTCCCATTTTCCCTCTTAAACCCCCACCAGATCACTTTTAACCCCTTCTCTCCCATGTCCCAGCCTCAGGCCATGACCAGACCCCCACCGGATCACTTTTTAACCCCTTCTCTCCCGTGTCCCAGCCTCGGGCTCGGAGCCGTGCCGCGACATCCGCTGCGAGTTCTGCGGGGAGTTCTTCGAGAACCGCAAGGGGCTGTCGAGCCACGCGCGCTCCCACCTGCGGCAGATGGGGGTGACCGAGTGGTACGTCAACGGCTCGCCCATCGACACGCTGCGCGAGATCCTGACGCGCCGCCGCTCCGGCCACCCCAAGCCGCCCGCCAAGAGCCTCCTGGCCGGGCTGGCGCCGCTGGAGCCGCCGCGGCCGCCGGGGCCGGAGCTGCACCTGCCCGGGCTGGGCAAGAAGCTGCCGGCGCCGCTGAGCCCGCCGGGGCCGGCGCCCGGCGCGGCCTCGCCGCCGCCCACGGCCCGCAAGATGTTCCCGGGGCTGGCCCTGCACAAGAAGCTCAAGCCGGAGCAGCTCAGGGTGGAGATCAAGCGGGAGCTGATGGCAGCGGGAGGAGGAGGAGGAGGAGGAGCCGGGATCCATCCCGGGGAGGCGCCGGCGCCGCCGGACCCGGCCTGGGCGGCGCACGAGGAGATGGCGCCGCTCAACCTCTGTGAGTGCTTTTGGGGTTTGTCGTGGGGATTTGGGGGGTTCAGGGATCATTCAAAGGATTTGGGGAGCTGGGATCCATCCCAGGATTTGGGGGGCTCAGGGATCATCCCAGGATTTGGGGAGCTGGGATCCATCCCAGGATTTGGGGAGTTCAGGGATCCATCCCAGCGCCACGAGGAGATGGCGCCGCTCAACCTCTGTGAGTGCTTTTGGGGTTTGTCGTGGGGATTTGGGGTTTATCCCGGGGATTTGGGGGGTTCAGGGATCATTCAAAGGATTTGGGGAGCTGGGATCCATCCCAGGATTTGGGGAGCTGGGATCCATCCCAGGATTTGGGGGGCTCAGAGATCATCCCAGGGATTTGGGGCTCTAAAATCCCATCCCGGGGGTTCCTTCCCTCCCTGATCCCCAAGTTTCCCTCTGCAGCCTTCCGGGCAGACCCGGTGTGCGACATCCCCAAGGTTTTGGGGACACTCAGAGCCCATCCTGGGGATTTTGGGGACACTCGGAACCCATCCCGGGGGTTCCCTCCCTCCCTGATCCCCGAGTTTCCCTCTGCAGCCTTCCGGGCAGACCCGGTGTGCGACATCCCCAAGGTTTTGGGGACACTCGGAGCCCATCCCGGGGATTTTGGGGACACTCGGAGCCCATCCCGGGGATTTTGGGGACACTCGGAGCCCATCCCGGGGATTTTGGGGACACTCGGAGCCCATCCCGGGGGTTCCCTCCCTCCCTGATCCCCGAGTTTCCCTCTGCAGCCTCCCGGGCGGACCCGGTGCGCGACATCCGCTGCGAGTTCTGCGGGGAGTTCTTCGAGAACCGCAAGGGGCTGTCGAGCCACGCGCGCTCCCACCTGCGGCAGATGGGGGTGAC